CTGATTCCAAGCCAGTTGTGCAGATAAATGAAGTGTAAGAATGGGCAGTTTGGAGGGTTTAAGAGAGGGGTGTGAGTGAGCAGTTCACGCTGACCTTGACAACATCAATCAGGGTTTATTTTAGGGCGTCTTGGAAAACCACCGAACCGTTGGTAAGCTCAAATAACCTGCCTTTTAAGTGCACAGGGCTAGCGAGCAAGCACAAGACAAAGAGACAGCAGTCACAGAGAGGAAACTGCAGCAATGCTTCAGCAGAGATTGGCACATCAGGCCTGATGCATCACACATCTGTTCTTTATAGCAAGACCTTTCCAAGTACTTTAAATGAATAAACAGACAACAGGGGAGAGCTGCTTACTGCAGTCATAAAATAACAACCATGAAGTGTTTATGTCCTGTTGAAAAATAAATAAAACAGTCTTGAGAACAAAATGTGACCAATAGAAGGGGCGATTTCAATCTTTAGAGGATCTCGGACATCTATCAGTGTAGAGGAATGAGAACAATGAAGATTTGGGGTCATATGAAAAGTTAACCCTGTACTTTACCAGAAATAGATAAATTACTTCATAAGTGAGCCGATTACTAGAAAAGGTTTGTGTTCAGTTAAATATCTGTATACGGCTAAATGGAAAGTTTACCCCAAAATGGAAATGCTGTCATTATTTACTCATGTTGTTCCAATCCTGCATTCAACTTTTTTTCTCTTTTTAATACAGCAAAAGTATTTTGAAAGAATCGTAATACAGCATATAAAATCTAATCATGATTTTTATATGTATAAAGTATAATATAAATACAAATTTAATATAAATAAAATATATAAAATTATAATTGTGTGAACTGCTATTGCATGTGTAAAACAAATCTCTATGTTCAAGGAGGAAAAAAGAGCATACAGCATGTCTGTACAAAAACAACAAAAAAAGTTTTCCTACAAAGCATCTTCAAGCACTTAAAATTCCATTTGGCTTTCCAGCTGATGACCACTGGATTGTCTGGCACAGAGCGGTAGTTCTTAAAGTAACAGCTGTATTACTACCCAGACCTGCTATCTTTCTTATCTTGCTCATCTTCTGGTCAGTCTTACCTGCTGCCTGTACACTGCCCGCTCCTCCAATTCCAGCTCCTCGCAAAACAGCACCCTGATCATGGCTTTCATTCTGCATCTAGCATCTCAATAGCCTCTGCACACATTATGTCTATGTCTCGCTTCTCATACACACACACACTAAGCCCTTCAGCAGATGGGCCTCAAAGCTGCTTTGAGTGATCATATTATAGACCGAGTGCTTTAACTTCCTCTCCACAACACTTTCCCACAGACACGGGGGAATAACTAAGAAACAAGGTCGTCAGGACATTGAAACAGTGGCTCTTAAGCTCAAACGTGAACTTGGCGAGGGAATCTTTGTTTTAGTGCTGAGTTCTGTTTTGTGTTCTCCTTACATGAACTCTCAGCAAACTATTAGCATACTGTCCACTACGCTAACCCGGTTTCCAGAAGAGAGGCCCCTCACAAAGTTTACAAAAATTACTAAAGGACTAGAATAGGGTTCTGAAAAACAGAAACAATTTTGTCAGTCTATTACAGACAAGAAAAGCTAAAACTTAATTGAAAAATTAAAAATTAAAAGCAAGCCTGTAGCTGCTGTGGGCTCTTATTTTCATATGCAAATTACTTTTGTGTCTAATGTTTGCAGCAAATGCACCCCATAGCAAAAATAATTCTCTTAATCAGTATTTTTGTTGTGTTTTTCATTTTAAATACACTACCATTAAGAAGCTGTTGTTTTTTTAAAGAAAATAATACTTTTATTCAACAAGGACATTTATTTGATTAAAATAAACAGTAAAGGCATGCATGATGTTACAAAGAATTCTATTTCAAATAAATGCTGCTTTTTTAAAACTTACTGCTAAAAGAATCCTGAAAAAATGTATCACAGATTGCACAAAAATATAAAGCAAAAATAAATAAATGAATTAATTAAATATTGATAATAATAGGTTAAGCAGCAAATCAGCTTATTACAATGATTTCTGGAGGATCATGTGACACTGAAGACTGGAGTAATGGCTGAAAATTCAGCTTTGCCATCACAGGAATAAATTAAATTTTTAAATACATTAAAATAGAAAACAGTTATTTCAAATTGTATTAATTTTTCACAATTTTTGTTTTTACTGTATTTTCAATCATATACATGCAGCCTTGGTAAGCATAAGAGACTTATTAAAAACATTTTTAAAAAGCCCAACGTTTTTTGTTATTACAACGTTATTATTATTATTGTTGTTGTTTTTATTTGTTTTAGGCACAATCTTTATTACATTTTGATAGATGTATGTGTACAAGATGACAAAATTACGTCAATGGGGCAAGAAAAATTCAAAAGATATGTAATACAAATTTTGTTTTACAAGTAAATTGATTTTGTTTAAGAGATGTTTAAATATTTTTACTGACAACAATACTGATTAAGGAAATTATTTTGGTGGTGCACATATTAGTCTAAATACAACTCAACTGATTCTGAAAAGTTAAAGTTACGTTACATTCTATAAAGCGCTTTCTTTGTAACTACTAAGAGTTTAAGCTCATCATTCAGACCCTCTTTACTCTCATATCACTCATGCCCGGGTCAGCAGGACAGACCCCGCAATCCATGCTACATGTTTTTCTTTTTTTATGAGAACAACGATACACACAAAGAAAACCTCTTGGGTAAGCTAGATTAAAACTTTTTATTTTGGCCTGAGGCTTTGTGTCCACAACTCCCTCGCTATTTCAGCGTAAGCTCATTTTCTATGGATGACTCTGATTTAGCAGGATACAACATTGCAATCCGACTCAACAACAAAGCTATGTGTATTGTGTGTGTGTGACTTTATGAGCACCTAAGGCACAGAGCAGTTGTAAACGTTTACAGACGACACACCTGCGGGCAGTGCTGCTCTCTCATGTGTGCAAACGTGACATCTGGTAGAGCCGAAGGGAATCTGTGTGTGAGAATCTACGAACCAAGTGACCTCAAGACACTCAGGTGTCCCACTTGAAAAACAAAAGAGGGAGTTGCCGCAGATTCATTCAGAAAAAGCGAAAGCTCTCGTTTCGACCTCCACCCTGCTGTCTGGACTTCCACAGATCTAGTCTTTCTGTATTATTCCAGCTATCTTTGGGTTTGTCTTTGTGCCTGCCTATAATTGGCTCTGCCCTCTTTTCAAAAACATAAAAGCCACAGATGTCTAAAACTCAGAGTCCTTGGTTTGGTCTTGAGTATATGTGGGTCACTCATAACACAGATTGGCTAACTAAAGGCTCATATTGTTAAAGCACGATTGAATTCATACTGACACAAGGTCAGCACAATTACACAATATGTTGCCCTCTGTGATATGGGCTAAAATAGGTTTCCTTTTTAAATGATTCTAGCTCAGAAACGGGTTTTTAGAATAGAAGCATGGGTTCTTGCATGTATGAGTATTTCTCACTGCTGGGAAAATGCTGAGAGCATCCAAGCTGGTTTAGTTAGACAGTGGTGGCAATTACTGGAGATCAACACGCCTCCAAGATGGGAGCTGTACTGGCAAAAAAAAAAGGCAGAAAAACAGGCTCCACAAACAAAAATACACAGCTCAAACTTCAATCCTAGCCACCCATTAACAGTGCATACAGACAAAGGACGCCAGACTCATTTTAAATCCCTCTGTCCCAAAGGTCTCCAAGACCCATTTTATTTTAAATGCTGAATGCTGAGAATGCATTAAAAATGTCAGATCTTCAAACTTTTGGACTCTAACTTTTCTGAAAAGGTAGATGTTTTAATGAGGTGAAAGCTTATCTTAATTTCGAGGTTTTTTTTTTTCTTTCTCTCACATATTTAAATTCCTAACGGAGCATGGAGTTCCCTTGCCAGATAGAGGTAATTAAGAAAGCTTTTTCCAAGAAAGGACGAGTCTCTCATGAACGCCGCTGTCACCGATCAGCTCCGCTGCACAGATAACTTCCATATTGCAGTTAAATACTACAATAAGCTCTCTTTCAATCATTTCTCAAAAAAAAACAAAAAAAAAACACAACTCTGAATTTACCAAATGAACTCTGAGTGAGCCAGAAAGAGGACTTGTGTGTTAAGGGAATGAGAATAAAGACAACATGAAATGGATTTGCAGTGCATTAAGTTTTGAAATATGGCATATTGGCTCATCGATAGAATATATTATTGGTTAATATTTAGTGAGATATTGAGGAAGAAAATCACATGAAGAACAATGACATTTATTTAAAAAAGTAAATAGGATTCATTTTGATTTGTGCTGCCTTTAAATGTGTGCCTTTAAAATCCTCTAACAAACACACTTCTTGCTATTGTTAACTAAAAATAAAAATAAAATGTTTTTATTAATCAAACTAAACCTGAAATAAAATAAATATTAGATTAAACATCAACATAACTTTTTTGCTATTTCTAAGTTAGCTTAAGTTGAACTAAAATTACTACAATAGAAATAGAAATGAAATGGAACAAAGCTAAACAGAAATATAAAAATGGCAAATGCAAAAACTAAAATTAATGTAAAAACGGACAACAACAAAAGCTCATTCAAAATATTAATAAATAATATAACAGTATGTAAATAATACTGTTTTCAATTATTATTTCTTGCACTCTAGACCCAGCAGTACAAACAGTAATAGTATATAAACTGACAAACACTCAAGCAATGTGACAAACACTCAATGTCCCTGCATTTTGATTTTGATAATGGATTGCTATGTTATGAAAAACTCATCTTAAAACCTCTCACCGTTTAATCGATATAGTACTTATCAACAGTCTGAGGCGTCTCTCCAAATGGATATAAATCATCCGAAGGAGGGAAGGGAAAACCCTCTCTGCCTGCATTACTCATGCGAAGCTGGTGTAAACACTGCCATACGACAATCTGCATCTGTCAGAATATTGACCAGAATGTGGAAAGACTGTGTTTCTCACCTCTGTATTGGTGCTTCCTGCAGCAGGCTCTTCTACTGTCAGCTCCATGCGACTCTCTTCTCTCAGCTGAGGACAAAAACACACTCTTTCAGATGAAAACACTCTCTCTAGTGTCTGGTACATTCCAGTGTCTTAAACAGTAAGAATAATAATGATATTCTTGATATTGATTTAAACAATATGACACAATGAAATGAGCTGTTGATATTCAAGAGCATGGCTGATATTCAGGCTAAAAGTATGATTTTGAGGGCAATATTGCTTGTATACATTATAAATTAATGCATAATTAAAAACATTTTATCTGAAGTCACAGAATTAAGTTGAAATTCTGCTTGGAAATTCTGTCCACAAATAATATATAATGTATAAGGCAGACTGAAGAGAAAGAAGGCCAGACGCATCAGTCTGAAATTCACAAACACAACACTTATATAACATAGTGCAATAACAGCCAACCGTAGCAGCACAAACACTCTCTCTCTCGCTCACACACACACACACACAAATATTTTGTTAAGCATTGTGTACTTGTGTACAAGGCTGCATTTATTTGAATACATAATTTAGATAAAGTAAAACAGTAATATTGTGAAAAAAAATACTACAATTTGAAATAACCATTTCTATTTTAATATATTTTAAAATGTAATTTAATGATGGCACAGCCTTCATTACAGCAGTCATTCCTCCAGTCTTCAATGTCACAAGATCCTTCAGAAATCGTTTTAATATGCTGATTTGATGCTCAAGAAACAATTCATTATTACTAATGTTGTAAATGGTTGTTCTGCTTAATATTGTTGTTGAAACTGATACGTTTTTTTCAGAATTCTTTAAATAATTGAAAATTCAAAAGAACAGTATTTATTTGAAATAGACATCTCTTGTAACATTGATCTCTTTTTTTCTATTGTTAATCTTTCGTAACAATCCATTTTGATCAATTTAATACATCCTTACTAAATTTAAGTATTAATTTATTTTAAAAGAAATGACAATGATAACTGACAAACAATGGCATTAACATAAGAAGTGCATAGGTTTTTGTGAATTTTATTATGCAATAACTAACTTGTTTTGCATGTCAAAGTTTAAATGCTCAGTGAGGACATATGCATATTTAAAGATGCTGATGTCATCATGATGTCCTTCTGTCTTATGAGACCATGAGACATTGGGATCAAGACACACAGCTCACACACTGCAGAGTTTTGTCAACTGACTCTATGCTGAGAAATAAAACCTCCCCCAAGGGGGCTGTCCTCTCTTCAACAAGCTAGACTTCAGAAAGTTCCAAAATAAACCATCAAATTACATTTAGCTCTGCCAGAACACAGACTATTTTGACATGAGGGACACATGCATACATACACACACACACACACACATATATTACACTAAAAAAATACTGGGTTATTTTTTTAAACCCAAATCCTGGGTTCAGCCTGTTAGGTCATTTTATTGGGTTGTTTTTAATATTTGTACCCAGGTGCTGGGTAGTTTTTCTGCACTCTAAAAAATGCTGGGTTATTATTTTTAACCCAAATGCTGGGTTCATCTAGTTGGGTCATTTTACTGGGTTATTTTTAATATTTTTTACCCAAATGCTGGGTAGTTTTTCTGCACTCTAAAAAATGCTGGGTTATTCTTTTTGACCCAAATGCTGGGTTCATCTTGTTGGGTCATTTTACTGGGTTATTTTTAAAGGGTTAGTTCACCCAAAAATGAAAATTCTGTCATTAATTACTCTCCCTCATGTCGTTCTAAATCTGTAAGACCTCCGTTCATCTTTGGAACCACTGATCTATATATAATGACTGGATCGCTCATTGCGTTCTAAACTGCCGACAGACAGTGAAGCCACTGGAAGTGTTCGAGCCGCCATCTTACTATTCCCTACCGGCAGAGAGCACCATTGAGTCACAGCTAAAACACTGACCAAAAATCACCTGATTTGAAGCGAATCAGTCACACGGGATTAGTTTTTATGTTAGGTGTATATAATTCGTTTTTACTTCAGATGTTATCGCCAATGTTTATGGTCTTTTTGGGCAGGATAAGCGATATATTTAAATCGTTAAGGTGGGTGTGTCTGCTGCGCACTGCAGACACAAGTAACATTAACGTTAACTGATCCAACACAAATATAGCCAATTTCTTTATGTACATAATTATTCAGGAATTAATGTATTAGTATCAGAAATTGATTTGGATATACAATGATAGCCTCTGTTACTTTATAGCTCTATGTTGTACTGAAATGAAAAGCTTAACTTACCATGCATCATCTTGGAAAAAAAGCTTCATGTCTTTAAGTCCGTTAGTCAGTTATTTCTCTGAATAAATTGTGTATATTTTTAATGTCCTGACTGAGCGACATCTATGTCAGACTCTCCAAAATCGCGCAAATATGTTTACTAACATTACCGTTTCCATGTAAAATGTTATGTATATGTTAAATTAATTAATTTAACCACTGTTTAAATCATTGCCTGCTTCAAAACGAATGCTGTTAACGAAATTATTGTTGAAGCATTTGCAGTAAGCCTACTGTACAAATAAAAACACTATAACAAAATTACATAAACAATGAATAACTACAAGGCGAATTAAGGTATGTGTGTAACTTGTTATACAAAGCATAAATCTTCAGATTTGAGAATGAGCACTTTGTCATTTTTTATATATATGTTGAGGTCGTGTCCGTCTGATATTTATCATGTTCATCTGATGTGCTGTAATGAACATAACTTTTTAATAAGCAGGGGAAATCTCCGACATAAAAAAAAATAAAAAAACTGTTTACACCTAGGGTGTTTGAATTTTAAGAATGTACAGGGATACTTCAGATTTAAAAACGCTGACTTGTTAGGTGATGTTTTCTCATTGAATTCGCACTTTTTCCTATTAACTCAATGGAATGTATGGGAATAGTGGGGAATACCAATATGGTGGCACGGCAGCTTCACTTTCATGACGTCATGAGCAATCCAGTTCTCTATTATAGATCAGTGTTCGGAACACAAATTAAGATTTTTTATGAATTCTGAGAGCTCTCTGACCCTCCCATAGACAGCAATGTAATTACCACGATCAAGGTCCAGAAACATAGCAAGGAGATCGGTAAAATAATCCATGTGACATCAGGAGTTCAACCGTAATTTTACGAAGCTACGAGAATAATTTTGAATAATAATAATAATAATAATAAAACAACCGTCTTGCATAATGCAGGACTTTTAAATATAAACAAGCCCAAAATACACTAGAAGTCTTATTATGAAAAGTCTATGTTTCACTATTGCTGGCTACTCATTCAAAAAGATGAACACTATAACACCATAAAGTAAACATTATCATAATTTATCAACATTATATCATAAGCAATTGATTGGTATCAACACACAGCATCCATTTATTGTGAACTGTTCTGAAACCGTGAGCCTGTAGAACAGGGGTCACCAGGCTCAGTCCTGGAGGGCCGGTGTCCTGCAGAGTTTCAAACACACCTGAACCAGCTAATCAAGGTCTTAATAAGTATACTTGAAAATTCCAGACAGGTGTGTTTAGCCAAGTTGGAGCTAAACTCTGCAGGACACCGGCCCTCCAGGATCAAGTTTGGTGACCCCTGCTGTAGAATGTACACTCTAAAAAATGCTGGGTTGTTTTAACCCAACTTTGGGTCAAATATGGACTAACCCAACTTTTGGGTTAAAAATTTCATGTAAAAATTTAACCCAACGGTTGGGTTAGTCCATATTTGACCCAAAGTTGGGTTAAAACAACCCAGCATTTTTTAGAGTGTACTGTGCAGGGTTTTGACTTTGAACATGCAGCAGAAATCATAGCCTTTTGTAAGGCATTTGCGAACATCACACCAATGAACGATGGAATCTCCGCATTCCATCAGAAAACTAACATCTCTTCTCAACCATATGAGAGTCGTAAAAGCTGAACCATGGTCAGCCCAGGCGCCAACTTTCTCAAATGAGTTCCTGTCTCGCTCTGCTTATCTTTACAAGAAACACAAGATGAGGGTGATTTACCAAACCACCTCCGGTATCGACAAGCACTAGGACAGCAAGAACTGACCCCCCCCATCTGGATTCATTTGCGACAGAATCTCATGACCGCTTAACACATAAATTGATAATCCCGTCAACAAAAGAGACAATTTTAGAGCTTTTAGAGCT